ACATTTAAATAAATGTAGTGTTTCTTCAGATTACAACAGCTAACTACTTACCAGTTTATTTGTCATTTATTTATCACCCAACATATCTTGCTAATCTCTGCTGAAAGGTTGTTCAGAAAGTGATTCTTAATTCAAAGAGTCATTTAGTGGCTTTCAGGGTGTTGAACAAACACCATATAAAGTTGAGGGCCATTTTTCAAGAGCAGCTTCCAAACAGGCACACGTAGTGAATATAAACATTAAAGATGTGATTTATGCCCATAACTCAGATATTTTGGGTTAAATCCTTGCCTCCTGAAAATTAATGGCAAAACTCCCATTAATTTCAGTTTAGCCAGATTGTCAGCACTAACTTTTAAAACACTCATGAAGTGATCTTCCAGAATTAAATTCTGAGAATACATCATAATATTAAAAAATAGATTTTGCTATTTGATTATTATACATTCTCTCAGGTATTTAAATCTGTACATTTTCTAATTTACTTGCAAATAGCACAGTTTATAATAATAATTACTGTCATTAAAATAGGCTTTTTGTTAAAAAATGCTTCAATAGTTGATCTTTAAAAACAGATCCCTCTTATGCACCCTTTGATACCTATAGTCACGGAGAAGGGTACTTAAATTATAAGGAGTATCAAATGACTTGCCGGTTCAAAACAAGTAAGAGATGGTACTTAATCATAGCGCAGGTGTTCATGGGCTTCACACGGGTTCAAAAAGCTGTTAAACAATTATATGCAATAAATATACATCACGAATAATTACATGCAGACATACATGTGAGGTTTAGGAAACTCGTGAATGTACAGTGAATACACCACGGGGGGGTAAACCAAGGAAGTATCACTACACTGACCCTTTTCTTCCCTACACATCCAACTGATGACTTCTGCCAGAGACAAGATGTTCGGGTAAATGAACCAATCATCTGGGGTGGTAAAATTATTCTTTTTTCTTATGGGGTTCCTGTTTATCTGAAAAGCATCAGTATAAATATAAGGATGTGTAGGATACAGGGCATGTCAATGGGTAATGATTACTACCACAGCATGAGTCAGTAAGAAAATAATCGAACCTAGCATTTTTATTTTTGACTAGAACATGTGTTATAGAAAGTGTGGTGCGTTGACCCTGGCTGGACGCCAGGTGCCCACCAAGCTGCTCTATCACTCCCCTCCTCAGCTGGACAGGGGAGAGAAAATATAACGAAAGGCTCATGAGTGAAGATAAGGACAGGGAGAGATCATTCACCGATTACCGTCACGGGCAAAACAGACTCAGCTCGGGGAAATTAATTTAATTTATTACCAGTCAAATCAGAGTAGGGTAATGAGAAATAAAACCGAATCCTAAAACACCTTCCCCCCACCCCTCCCTTCTTCCCAGGCTCAACTTCACTCCCGATTTTCTCAACCTCCTCCTCCCCCCCAGTGGCGCAGGGGCACAGGGACTGGGGGTTGCAGTCAGTTCATCACAC